CTCCTCTTCACTCATTTGTGCAACACACAACTGATGACTGGAATACCCTTCCTCCAGATGTTGTCACCATCAAGAAACTGTTCGTGATATCGTACTATAAGTTTTTTTATATAAACTAGGCTCGCCGTTTGCACTTATATCATGTGTCTATCTTCGTTGATACACCGGTTTTTTTTACTTTCGTTTATAATTACCGTATCATTTATTTTGTTTTCTTTTTTTGTGCCGATATAATTTGTGTAACTACTTGTAATCTTTTTGAAATGTACTTATGAATTGTGAGTTCTTTTCCTGCGTTGCTTTCTCTTCTTTTTTTGCCTTGTGACCTGTTTTTGAACTACTTCCAATTTTCTGTATTTTTGCCCCACCCCCTTTGTAGTGCCACTGGCCCGGAGAGTATTCTAAATAAATAAATAATCACTTCTTTGAAGGCACTACCGCATTCGGCAAACCAAGCCTCCTGCCGCGTCAAAAGTACTTTTTTTTGGCTCAGTATGGACAGAACCGAAGAGGAATTGGTACTATATTTCCATCCTGATAGTTCATTCGATTTATATAAAAACATATATGAGTGGCTCCGAAATAAATAGACATCTCACTAGAATGGTATTAGGAGTTATTACTATGACACGTATTGATTAACGTATTAGGATAGTACTTTTGTTGCAATAAGCCATCGATTGCCTTGATATAACGTGTCGATCTGACCTAATTCCAAGACGTTCTTTATTCTTTATAGGTGCACGAGTGGGAATTGCGGGACCGACTTCATCTGTAGGGTGAAACCTCAGTAGTATTAAAACTGCTAAAGCTTGCGCGCTTATGTTATACTTTACGAGTGAAATGTTCGTTATGTGACGTATAACCATGAATGAATTTAATGCATTAATAATATTTTCTAATTATATTCTACACATCGGCTTCTGTGATGTCTTGAATGCTATTGAGGAGCTCATTTTGGACGCGGTCAACTTTGTACATAGGCAGAACATTAAAGCTACACGCAGTGAAGTGGAACAAAATATTATTCTGACTTTTGAGACGACCATCCGCCACAAAATGCTTTACATTGTGTCTGTACATGAACGAAGGGAGGGGAATTCAAGGGCTGAGTTCTTTTTCTTTGCTTATCCTGGGCTCGTTTTTTGTATATGGTCTAGAGAGATGTGTGTAGAAAATCGGCATGACGTTACACTTTGGTCAAAAGTTGTTCATATTTTCGCGCACGCAACACACTTGACAGTCGCTGTTGAATACAACCGTCATCGAAGCTGTCGAACATGATAGAGATGTTCGTTTTACAGGTAAAAAAGGGGAATGCACTCTTTACAAGAGAAATGATAGAATCAAGGTAATCATTATAGCACTCATTCCTATTCATGTCAGCCTACCTTATGTCTACCGCAAACAATAGGGAAGTCTTCTCCGGAGGACCTCCAGTGGACCCTCTATATAAGTAATGTGATTCACTTCCCAACTTTATAACGCCAGGTTGTTATCTGCTGTCATCGATCACCTGCGCTTAACATCTCTATAGCTTTGTACCCATTATGTCTAATAACAGTAAAGGCTGTTATGAGATCACAACAAAGGCCGTTTGGCCTGTGTTTGTCTGCCACTGCTCGCGCCGGTGTCCGAAACTATAGTATCACGCGAAATAAAAAAAATGAAAAAAAAAATATTTACAATACTATGGGGTTTAAATATGGGCCACCTTCGTGCCAGTCCTGTATTCTACCACAGAACCACGCAAAAAAGTTCGCAAAAATACCCGTTACAGTTACGTCGAGAACGCAGCACATTATCTCTGGAGAGAGTTTAAGGACGCAGCCCACGTATCGACACTAAAAGAAGGGGACAGGATAGAGCATCACTTGCAACTGAATTTATTTTAAATAAAAAAGTGCCTCTTTTTTATATACTTGCAGACATGTGCATGGTTACGGCTGCGCAAATAAATGGCGAACTATCTTACGTTTATGACACCATGGTATAAAAAAACTGCTCTTCTGCATACGCACATTGAAAGACGTGTCATTGATGCACACATCCCTTTTAACATTGATGAAATACGCCTCCAAATGTTCCCTCGCCGCAGTGTTCTCAGTCCTTCATATACTATACGAATATTTGCGAGGTCCAACGCACTCACGCATGATTCACAGCACACAGGTAAATGGGCACTGGTCTTATCTTTAATCGATATCTCGTGCTCCCTTGCCCTCTCATTAGCGCAGCGTCCGGTTTAGCTGATATGAACTTCGACGTATTTAAGTGGAATTTCGTAGACCACGCACACCACGCAAGTTACAAACAGACTTGCATGCTTTTAACCACAAAGTGTCACCTTTTGCGGCGCTGCGATGCGTAGACAGAGGCCGGTTAACTTTGCTGGAGCTGAAATAACAATCGGTACCTTGTACCTGTTCGCCACCTTCTCAATCTTGCGGGAAACTTTGTACATATACAGGTGGCTTTTCCTTCAGTTTTGCCTTTAGTTTCTGAAGGATGGTTCCCGTTACTGCTTAATTAAATGCTTTGTTAGGCGCGTTGGTTCGTTCATGCGTATATTTGAGCGCAAATGGACAACACAGACTCACGGTCGTCCTCTGTTCTTTTGTCTCGTCCATTTGTGTTCAAATCTATTCCCGTTGCTGCTATAAACCGTAAAAGAGCAAGGATATCCGGCTGAATTGGCCTCTGTACATGGTCGTTAAAACGTTTCTGCATTTTGTGAGCACAAGACCAGTCCAATGCAGGTTCAAGGCACATTGATGCTATTGCGTTAAAAAAAAAAAATGTTTCGTTCCTGTGCGCCGAGTCGTAGGGTGAAGTTTTTTGCGAGAGCGACGACAATATAACAAAAAAACAAAAAAAATGTGTAGCTCCCTATAGCGTCAGGGTTAAGTCTAAAACAAATCTGCAATTTGTCATCTAAAGGCAGCTCATGCATAAAGGAAAGCACTTTGCCATGTTGTCTAAACGAAATAACGTAATCCACAGCGTGGGTAGTCATTACAGAAGAATTAATTAGACTGAAAAATCACTAAAAAATCGTCAACATATCTAGAAAAGTGTAGCACAAGCATCGTCAAGACAGAAAGCCAACTCTCGGTCAACAGAAGATAAAAGCACATGAAATGGAACTGGTAGGACACACGACCCAATGCGGATACCTTGACGCTGGATATAGTACTATCCTCGTAAGAAGCAAAGTTCGAGGAAAGATAAGAGTCTGACAAGGTAATAAAGTTATCAATCGAGATGCCTGCGCTATTCTCAGAAACAAGTATACTTCGTTCTGTTCGATATAAGACCGAACTCTTTGGAACTGATCAGCTTGCGGAATGGAATGGAACAAACCTTCAGCTTACCTAGAAGTGGCGAAGTGACTGGTGGAATACTTTGCAGAAACTTCGCGAGTTCTGTTGAATTTTTAACCGCGAAAGGATCTTCGACATCAAGTGCATTGAAATGCTTAAGTAAGTAGCGGCTAAATTTTGCTGCAAGCATTTTCGCTCTCTCCCTATGCATCTAAAGGACATGTCCGGCTTGTGTGTTTTAACGATAAAAAACACTGCTAAAAAGAGACTCTTTAAGGCACTAACCACTTCAGTCAGTCTCCCAAGATCCAGTCCTTTACACCAGGATGCAGCCTTCGCTTTTACCTTCTTGGCGAAGCTCTTATCTGCGTTTAGATTCTTGGCCATAGCAGCTTTCTCGCTTGTTTTGGTGCCTAAAAGAACTTGGCTGATACCCACAAGGGGGATTGTCCACATTGTGCCTCATGATGGATATTCAAAGGCTATGCCACATGATATGATATAGTATGGATAAACTTTATGTAGGTCCGTCGGGGCGTGCCACATAACAATGCGACATAAAATAATCAGAGAAGGACGAAACGTATTGTAAGTAAAGGAGTAGGAATGACAAAAGGATTCGAGAAGCCAGAGATTGTTCTTGTTCGACATCTACTGTGTCTCGCATGCACCCACTGTTGGGGATCGGCTAAGAATTGAGTAAATCAAGCATTTCGTCTCCCCCTTTTTTGCCTAGATGCATTTCATCTTTAAACTTAATTAAAAGGACCATGAAACATCGTATGAATCAACATAAACAGTTTCATGTGTACGCTTCTACCGCAGCACTGTCCGTTTAGTTGTTAACATAGAGTTCCTCACAAAGATACCTTGAGGGAAGTGTGGTGCCACCGTCTATGCGAATTTCTTAGGGGACGATGTTGGAGCGCTGGGGATGACGGTACATGTGTCTGCGAGGGTGGTGTTGGCTGGTATTGAGCGAGGTTTCGGCTCAAAATAGAATACGACTGCGTAAATAAAGCTCCTCTAAAACAAAACGTTTATAAGCGGATCTCATTCACGCGTATTATATTCCAAAATAAAAGTCCACTTACCTTGACGGCACAACCAAAGGTCGAAAGAAAGAAACAGACGACAGGAAGGGGCAGAGGGATCGCTTGCTTTGTCGTCTGCCGGCCAGGTTTAGCGGCCATTGGTTACTTCTTATGCTTCGTTAAATTGTACATTTACACTGAAGGTTCATGTGTTAAATGAAACACGTTTCTCGGCAATGACAAAAATAAATGCCTTATTACGTGCTCTTTTAGTAATAAGTAAATCATTTTAACGTGAAACCAGACACGTCTTCGAGGTATACACATCCGAATCAAGTTCCAAGCGCACACATCCCGTCATTCCCTTGCGTCCAGCAGCTCTCTAGCGCCAGATTTTCCTCTTTGTGAGAAACTATATGGTTGTTAAAGATACATAACGCAAAGGCAGTCAAAGGTTAACTGCCCAAAGTGGCGGCACTGAAGCCTCTTCGTAAAATAATCCGCCTAACTTCGTTCTTTCGGCTCCGTTTGTCTCTATGCAACCTGGAGCCGTTTTGCCGTAAGACGAACTTCAGTAAACGTGCAGAACTTCAACGACTATAACCTTTTGAGACTGGCTAATTCAAATCAGCTCACGAAGTTCTCAACAATTCATTCATTTATCCAAACGTCAAAACACAACAATAAACAGTCACAGATGCGGTCGAAGACACACGCACGAAGATCAGGCAAATTGATGTACTAACCGTCGTTCTCATGCCAGCCGGAAGATCGCACTGCTATGCCGTTCTCTCTAGTAATTATTAAAGGGTTCTATAGGTGTACCCAGACAGAAACAGGCTTGTCGCTTTGAAGCCAAAAACATGAACGTTCTGGCAAATTTTATCAGAAATTCTGACATCACTCTTTAGCCAGAGTACATATTCAGGTTACCAACGGCGAACTTTTAGTTTTTGACATACGTGATACTTACATTAGCGCAGGAAAAGGCACTTATGCTTACAAAGGTACAAAAATTGCGTGACCCTCTGACACATATAGGTGAGTGACAAGCGTGCCCAGCGTCTGCGAGTAAAGCTTGCATTTATTCTTTTGTTATGAACAATAGTAACGAAAATCGTACACGTCTTGAAGTCCCACTGGGCACGCCTTATTTGTATGTACACGGATACTGTGACGTTCACAAAATGGTCGTTCATCGCTGGTCGACATTAGACGGCGTGATTTCCGCACACGAACCACTACGCTTTGTCGACGAAAACGGCATCTTGCTAAAGGCCGAGAACACGAACGAGTTCCTGGCCCTCGGCTTGGATTCCGGTTGTTCTTCCACTTCCACTCGCGGCGCTGCTGGCACCGGTGGTTCCAGAAGGTCTGGCATCGAGCTAGCCATGGCCTTCGCCGCCGCTGCGTCGGAAGAGGCGAACGTCACTTTCTTCTTCGACCTCTGGGGGGCTGACGTCGACGAGGTCAGGGCGGCGCAGACCACCACTTCGGGCTTGGGGGGAGTCCTGGCCAGAAAGGGTCGCCGGAGGCTGTCGTCCGGGCTGCCCACGTCGTTTACGAGGCACTCCAGGAATGACGCGTCATCTGTGAGGAAAGTTACAGTGCGTTACTGTCAACACTGAACTCACGAAACTGGAGATGTTAGGGAGCACACGCTGTTTTGTTGTTGTTTGTGGACAGAGCAATTGCATGGACCCGCGGGATGCATTCTTGCTATCGCTGTCGCCGTCATGTTCCGTATAAAGTGCGGATCGATATTGTCGCTTCGCGCGTCGTACGTTCGGTGTGTAGTGAAAGCTTGCGAAGGCTGCTGACGGGCGCGGCTCAACTAGAGATGAAATGCACCGGCTGCCTTCTCCGTCGTGTGGAGGAGCAAGATTGGTCTGGTGGGGATGGGGATGCGTCGCTCTAGGGCAGCAATTGCAAACGGGTACAGTCGCGCCAGACGGCCCATAGCTTTGTAGTTTCCTCGCACCGTTTACCTCGCGGTGAAGCAGCAGACACTACCAAAAGCGCTTTGCTATCTCAAGTGGCCGAATTTCTTTACGCCAGCATTTTGTAGAGTTGCGCCAGAGGGTATGCTATAGTGGAGTTAGCTGCTGACCTTCCTTAGTATAACGTTCCATTTGCTGCTGTCACGTTTATTGCTTTGCCGTTTGAGTGGAACTGTGACTTATTTGTTTGATATTTAAAATATCCTACAGCTGCACTCTTGCATAGGCGATACGAATTGAGGGGGCCGAAAGAATATTGAAGGGCAATGGCTTATTCGATGCATAACGCGGACACTTCGACACTGTCGCGTAGTAAAGGGAGGTATACGTCACACGAAAACCCTGCTATAGTGGAACCATCACCTTGCTGGTCATTCATCTTCAATGCACTAAAAGTGAAGGAACCTCAACAGTGAAATCACGAGTAAGTACAGTGTGCGTTAACCGTACAGTGCAGTTTCTCCGCCTTCTTCATATCACTGTCAGTGTATCGAAAATGACAAACACACAGGTTGTGTTGTGTCGACATTCAGGGTGCAACAAACCTATTTCGAAGGAAGATAGGGACTTCTCGGGAGAGCCTCGGTCGAACCACTTGCTGTAGCCGCTGTTCCATCTCATGAATCTCGGCGGAGTGATGTCGCAGGCGGCCGAGGTTGCCGGCCTCGTTCTCCGGGTCTGTGAAAGAGCCAGAGGATGACGATAACGCTTTGAGACGATATGCACACGTACACCACTTGTGCTTTGCTATTTGTTGATTGATTAATTGATTGATTTGTGGGGTTTAATGTCCCAAAAACACCATGTGATTATGAAAGACGCCGTAATGGAGGGAAATTTTTACCACCTGGGGTTCTTTAACGTGCACCCAAATCTGAGCACACGGGTCTACAACATTTCCGCCTCCATCGGAAATGCAGCTGCCGCAGCCGGGATTCGATCCCGCGACCTTCGGGTCAGCAGCCGAGTACCTTAGCCACTAGACCACCGCGGCGGGGCTGCTTTGCTATTTGTGTCTATAGGGCCAAAAAAGAGCAAGATACGTGGAGCTTTGAATGAATGGAACCTCCAGCAAAATTAACTTCTCTTCATTTAACTTCATTTTGCTGCGTATACTGTTGCGTATGATCACTTCTTAGAAGGAACTACCACATTCGGCGAGTCGAGCCTCCTGCCGCTTACTGCGCGACCCACGTCAAAAGTACTTTTTTGTTTATCAGTGTGGACAAAACCGAAAAAGAACTGGCAATATTTTTCTATCCTGATGTTTCATTCGATTTATGTAAATACACACTATGAGTGGCTTGGAAATAAATAGATATTTGATTAGAATGAAATTATGAATGATTACTATAACACGCATTGATTAACGTATTAGGACAGTACTTTTGTTGCAATAAGCCATTGATTGATTTGTGGGGTTTAACGTCCCAAAACCACCATATGGTTATGAGAGACGCCGTAGTGGAGGGCTCCGGAAATTTCGACCACCTGGGGTTCTTTAACGTGCGCCCAAATCTGAGCACACGGGCCTACAACATTTCCGCCTCCATCGGAAATGCAGCCGCCGCAGCCGGGAATCGAACCCGCGACCAGCGGGTCAGCAGCCGAGTACCTTAGCCACTAGACCACCGCGGCGGGGCCGCAATAAGCCATCGATTGCCTTGATATAACGTGTCGATCTGACCTGAGTGCAGGTTCTCTATTGGTGCACAAGTGAGAATTGCACTACCGACTTCATCTGTATAGGGTGAAAATCTCATTAGTATTAAAACTGCTGAAGCCTGAGCGTTTATGTTATACTTTACGAGTGAAATGTTCGTTATGTGACGTCTAATCATGCATATATTAATGCATTATTGTTTTTTTCTAGTTATATTCTAAACATCGGCTTCTGTGCTGTCTTGAATGCTATTGAGGAGCTCATTTTGGACGCGGTCGACTCTGTACATGGGCAGAACATTAAAGCTACACGCAGTGAAGCGTAACAAAATATTACTCCGACATTCGAGACAGCCATCCTCCGCAAAATGCTTTATGTTATGTATGTACATGAACGAAAAGAGGGGAACTTAAGGGCTGATTTTTTTTGTTTGCTTATTCTGGGCTCCTATGTGGTCTATAGAGATGACGTGTGTAGAAAATCGGCATGACGTTACACTACGGTCAACAGTGGTCCCTATATTCACGCACGCAACACACTTGACAACTGAAAATAGCGCTAAGAAACGAGGACACAAGAAGAGGACACACAGCACAGGCGCTTTTAGCGCCTGTGCTGTGTGTTCTCTTCTTGTGTCCTCGTTTCTTAGCGCTATTTTCAGTCGTCACAATGCACCAACAAGCCCAAATTTCGACAGTGTTGAACACTTGACAGTCGCTGTTCAATACAACCGTCATCGAAGCTGTCAAACATGATAGTGATGTTCGTTTTACAGGTGAAAAAAAGGGAATGCACTCTTTACAAGAGAAATGATAGAATCAAGTTAATCATTATAGCACTCATTTCTATTTATGTAAGCCTACCTTATGTCTACCGCAAACAACAAACAAAAGGGAAGTCCTCTCCGAATGACCTTCAATGGACCCTCTATATAAGTAAGGTGATTCACTTCCCAACTTTATAACGCCAGTTAGTTATCTGCTGTCATCGATCACCTGCGCTTAGCATCTCTATAGCTTTGTACCCATTATGTCCCATAACAGTGAAAGCTGTTAGGAAATCACAACAAATGCCATTTGGCCTGTGTTTGTGCGCCACCGCCCGCGCCGGTGTCCGAAACTATACTATCACGCGAAATAAAAAAAATAAAGAAAATATTTACAATGGTATGGGGTTAGAACATAGGCCGCTTTCGTGACAGCCCTGTATTCTACCACTGAACCTTGCAAAAGACTTCTACGCAAAAAAGACCCGTTACACTTACGTCGAGAATGAAGTACATTAACTCTGAACAGTAAGTTTAAGGACACATCCTACGTAGACACCAAAAGAAGGGCACAGGATAGAGCGTCACTTGCAACTGAATTTATTTGAAAGAAAAAAAATGCCTCAATTTTATATACGTGAAGACATGTGCATGGTTACAGCTGCGCAAATAAATGGCGAACATTCTAATGTGCAATACTCGTTGGCAGTTAGCGTCTAAAAGAAAAGAAAAAAAGCGAGTTTCTACGGAACTGGCCAGCAGAAAAAATAGCTATATTCACTGCTGTATTGTAGATTCCCTAATACAGATAACAGAATTTTATCTTCATAGAATCACAGAAAGGGGCCTGCTGCTTCATTATACAGAAGTTCAGAGTATCAGCTTGTATAGTTCTGTCGCTTCGTCGGTAATTCGTGACCAAGTCCAGCCATAAACGGCCCCATTGACACAATAATAATTCATCACGTTTTCATCAGAGCACTAAGCGACTTCGTATGAATAAGAAGTCTAATGTAGTCTACATAGCCACTAAATTATGGTTCTGCTGCGGAAATAAAAAAAAAGATAATCCTACACAGACCTTCATTATTTTGCTCATTTTCATTGGAACGTAAATAAATCACTAATTAGTTGATGTCCAATATCTCTTCATAGAAACTTTGAATGGCACTTCGTCTAAAGGCACAGTATATTCCGCTTTGTTACGTTGAATAGTTTCGCCGTACTCGCAGTACAGTGGAGGCTTGTACAGCGAAAATGCTTCTGTTGCTCACACTATTTTCATTGCTTCTAGGTAACGCTTCTGACCAGGCATTAAAATCAGGTGTCATTAAATACAGGGGATAATAAGCTTTCTGAAATAGGCCAATTCAGTTGTTGTTTTGTTCTTGTTTTTTGCGAAGCGCAGCAAGCCCAGTGCATCCGCAAACAATGCGTAAAAGGCGGAGTGATTGCGGCTGGCGTGGGACCACCGCCTTAAGATTCCCAAAGATTGATTAGCTGCAGCTAGCAGCTTGTTAGCTTGCAGTGCACATCTACACGAAATTGAATGTGAGTATGCAACAGGTATTTCATATTTACCACCGACCTTTCGGTAAGACTAGATTTTTAATCTGTTTTAGATATAGTTCAATCTAGAAGAAAGCGCCGTTCTGTGCATGAAAGCACAGAAGTAAATGGAAAAAATTCGCGCATTTCCTCGCATACCTTGGGAATCTCTAAGCTCGTGGCATCCCGAAAAATCTTCCAATGCGGATACGCCTTGCTGTTTCACGAGCTAAAATGCGTAAATTGCGAGATGTGCGGTCTATAGAAGCCAAGTTAAAAAATGAACACTGGTTTTTTGTTGAATGGCCCATTGTGTAGATGGAGGCGAAACGGTTGGGACTGTGCGATGTGAGTGCATGTTAGAGGAAAAAAAAAAAAACACCAGGTGGTCAAAATTTTCGGAGCTCCCCTCTACGGCGTATATTCATACCGTGGTATTGTGACGTAAAACTCTATTATTATTATTATTATTATTATTATTATTATTATTATTATTATTATTATTATTATTATTATTATTATTATTAAGTCGCATTTTCGCTCCAGTAATGCTATAGCGTTACGATTCTAATTCAGCAGCACTTGCACTACTACCGCAACGGCAGAATTTTGATGCAGTAAATGTGCTAAAAGCCCGTGTGCTAACGCTTATAAGTACGTGTTACAGAACGGAGCCCTGTCTCACAATCACGTCGTGGTTATAGTACACGAAACTACACATTTTTACGCATAATTATACTCTCTATATCTGTCACCGGAGATATTAAGCCCCGCGCGCTGCGTATAGTCACAACAGCTGAGCGAGGACGATCAATAATATAATAATGATTCTCGAGTTTAACGTGCCGAAACTACCGTATGATTATAATGTGAGAGATGCCGTAGTGAAAGGCTCCGGAAATTCAGACCAGCTGTGGTTCGTTAACGTGCACCCGAATCTAAGTACATGGTCCTCAAACATTTCCGCCGCGGCAGGGATTCGATCCCGCGACCTGCGGGCCAGGAGTCGAGCACCAGAACCACAAGACCATCCGTGGCGGCTGAACGAGAACAAATGAACAACCTTCGCGTAAACGTTCTGTAATCTTTGCCAAAACACTTTTCATGCATGATAGCTCGCGATATCTTCGACGACTGATGGCGCCTGTGTACCTCCGTACCCCGGAAAGCACATTGCACGACACGCACGATTAAATAACGCTGATAAGAAAAGTCTGGCTTTGCATCGTTCCTTTTGGAATGAAGTGCTAATTTGGCAAATTAGCGACGAGAATTTCGATCGCGCAATACTCGAGGAAACGAGTGACAATGCTGAAAAAAGACATCGCATCAGTGACAATGTGAAGATGGCACTTGTTCGTTATCTAAGCCAGGCTAAATAGCGTTTATCAACGGACAGAGCCAATCTATAGATGACTCAGCTGCGTCTATAGCTTGCCAACTCTATTCTTACATCATGCGCCTAGCGTACCTATTACTTCCATGATATCTGTGCTGTATTACTTTTCATTTTAAAATGAAAGGTTTCTTTGTTTTTTTTTGTATTTTTCGGTTGCAATGTGATTCCGTCATTTACTCCTTTGTTAACCACCCTTCCCCAGTGTGTAATGACCATATCTAGTGCAACCGCGTTTAAGCGGGGGCTGCATTCTCATTAAGTGGTTTCTCGCAAAGGGAAGTTTCATACATTGATATAATAAGGACGGGTACTGCGATGAACCCTTGAAGAATAACCCTGCGCGCACGACTATATGGTATGACCTTTTGGCCCTTAGAGCATAAAGACTGCAGAGTCACAGGGTCCCTTAGGCATCCGCCAAAGACGACTAGACGGCAGAAGCCGTCATTTTCGTCTCCATGGGACTCACTGCACTTCCTCCGAAAGCTTTCTACAACTCAACTGGTCTTGGACTGCCTCCGAGATCGGCCAGCGTTTGACCAAACGTAGGATGACGGTCGTCATGCGACGTAACGAAATTTACCGATGTGCGACATCAAGCTGACGTCACCGCGCGATTATCGATTTCGAAAGACGAAAAAAAAATAAAAATGCTTCACAACGAATGAAGAAGTGAACACTAAGTGATAATTAACAATTAACATCTGGGGGGGGGGGGTTACGTCCCGAAACCCCGGTGTGATTATGAGAGACGCCAGAGGGCCAATGTGACATTGCACAAAGTATACGCGGACTTACTTCGCCTCCATGGAAATGCGACCGCCGCGACCTGCGTCCTGTGAGATGTAAGTGCACGTTTCAGAATACCAGATGCTCGAAATTTCCGCAGCCCTTCACTACGGCATTTTTCATAAAGTTATCTTGGCTTTGGCACGCAACACCCAAGGTGAGTTTATTATTATTATTATTATTATTATTATTATTATTATTATTATTATTATTATTATTATTATTATTATTATTATTATTATTATTATTATTATTATTATTTCACTTTACTGCCCCTCTAAACAATGACAATTAAAACAGCTCCGACTTAGCAACAATATAAGGCAGACTTTGCCCCCCCCCCCCATGTGATTAGAAGAGGCTGTCGCCCTCTCCCCTCGAGCGCAGGCCTTCGCACATCTATCCACAGCGTACACAACACTCAGAAGCCGAGCTTCGTACTGTTGAACACGCAGGTTCCTCATGTATCCCGCATGTATACGGTGTGGAGACGGAGGGGAAATCAGAAAAAGCTCCGATAACAATGATTAGAACTGGCCGGGACAAGAAAAGGCTAAATGTCACGTCTCGTTTGCGGTTATTGCAAACGAACTAAATAAACATATGAAGGGACGAATGAATCTCGATAAATGGCACGCAGACAGATATGCAAATTTCTAATTTCGGCTGGCGGAGGGGCGTCAAAGCGTTCTCGCACGTGTATAATTAGGATCAAGGTGGCAAGCTGGGCTAGTTGGATAACGTTCATGATTGAAAATTTTTGTTGAAGCGCACATGAAGACCGACAGACAGAAGAGGCTGACAAGGACTGTCCTTGTCAGCCTCTTCTGTCCGCCGGTCTTCAGTGCGCTTCAACGAAAATTTTTAATCATGTATAATTAGCACATCGCAATCGCAAGGACATCTCTTGTTAAGCTTAGGCCGCAGCACACATGTCTTTTTATGAACTTAACGCGCTTAATTAGGCACGAACGTACTGTGAATTAGGTTTTGAGAGAAAAAATAATATATTGCCCAGCTCGCTCTTGCTCCGGTCGTCGGTTAAACGGACGTTTCATGTTTTGCTACTGTCGAAATTTAATATATCTGACACAAGAACATACACGATTGCCAGCGAAGCCTATATATATAGGTTTAAAGTAAATTGATTGAAGCCACATACCAAGACGATGTACTTTACTGATTTACTGAGAAACGTAAATGATTTGCAGCATACCATGTCTGTAAGCCTGCGTCATCGCCTTCGTTTGTTGGAACTGTGGTTATACGTTTGAACAAAAAAAAAAAAATGTGCTATGAGTCTCACTCAACTGTGATCTGTCAGTGAAATTGCGAGATCTTGCTTATTTATATATATACCTCTGCGGTGCTTTTTCGCTGAAATTCGTCGACAAGACCACGCTTTCAAGATAGGTTTGGCAGGTATTACTCTTAATATGTATGCTCGATTCATCAGCAAAAAATATAGGCATCAGCCATCATATGTGTATACCTTGCCGACGGGAAGGTGCGCTGCAGCGCAGATGTTTTGTTTTGATGCAGGTTTGGCACGTTTTGCTTCTCTCAACAACTATCAGCTTACACGAAGACTAAAAGGAAGAAGACTAAGAGAAGAAGGCAGAAGACTAAAAGGAAGGGGGGTGCGATGTCAAATGATTTATTGTAACGATGCGTTGCAAGAAGTTAAGGCAGTTTATTTGTGATATAAAAAACAATATAGCTGTGAGCACAAGCTTCTTTTAAGCGTTATAACGGAAAAGATCGCTGTGTGCACTATTGCAACCAGCACGTTTGCACAGCGCAAGACTATACGAGTAGTTACGATGCAAGTACGGAAGAGAGACATTGTCCTTGTGTCTTCTTCCTTAGTTACACCCAAACACCAACTAACTAGCCCAGGCATCTGTCTTATCATGCAACCAGCAAACAAGTAGCCGTGATCATCAATACAGCTGGCTGACGTAAGAGGCTGAACTCAATATCTAAGTAGGTTACTCGACCAAGTTGTACGCGTCGGCTGCAGCTCTGGAATACGTCCAAGGGTAACGCCATGTTGTCGTTTGACGACACGTCCACATGGCACCTGTCCATAACCGAGACGATGTAACATTCTCACATAAGAGTTCGTGAATACGTGCCTTTGCCGTAGACATGTCGTCCCTCCGGTTGGCCCAGTCGTAGCGTTGGGCGTTGGAGCAGTCGCTTCCTTCTGACGCCGGACGCTCTGCTGCTGGTGCAGCGATTCGAACGGCATATCGATAACGGCTATCGGCTCACCGTCGATCGCTGTGAAGCGCCGGTTATACGCTGTCACGTGCGGCGCTTTCTGTCCTTTATCGGGGGCTGCTTCGCCGCATCGGCAGTGTCGTGTGATTCAGCCCGATGAGAGAGCGGGGGAAACCTCGCTGTCAATATTTTCAGCCAGGTAGTCCAATCGCTTTACGGAACGCGTGCACATAAGCGCCAGAACTTCCGCGAACTTTCGAAGCACGCTTCCGGATTCACGTCTCTTTAGTTTGCCGGATGCATTTCGAAAATCTGTGCAGCGCGATTTTTAAGGGTGCTCCGAGTAGGTTATTGGTAGCTACACATGCGCGGGTCACACGATGCGAGGCGCGACTTTGAGAGTGCAATGAGAGAATGGTGATTGCGCCTGCAGCAAATCAGTTTGTTTGGCTCGCGGACTTTGCCAAAGTCGCAGGTGGCGCCGCCTAGGCAGGTCGTATCATTGTCAACATCGCTGACCTAAGTGGTCAACGCTCAGTACCGCGTGGTGCGTTATACGGTGTCTAGTCGCTTTCGAAATCTCTGAGAGGTATAGCCCATCCGCACACGTTGATCATCGACCGTTACGATGGTGACTCACTCACTAAGCTTCTTTTAGCGGCTATCTCGTCTATTTTTGCTTTAGACTCTAACGCGGCGCCATACTCCCGTCTGCGATGGCCTGGAACGAGTTCTTGCTTTTGTCTCACGGAGGTATGCGCGGGGAGACGCTTGATGGCTGGAGAGAGGAAAAAGACGAGGAGATGTGCAACGACTCGCGGTATACGCACCTGAGTGCGTGGCCGCGACAATATTTTTAGAGCCACTCGCGCGTCACCACTCCTGGAGTGATGTAGCGAGGATGATGAGGATGGGAGGGGGCAACTCAAGCGAGGGAGCAATCCCAATGACAATTCGGTAGCACCCCGCGTTCCAGTGTGGCGTGTTTTGTCAGAGCTTTACAATTCACTCGGGAGTTGCAGGCACAGTCTGCTGCGCCCGGGTTTCATGTTACCCAACGCTGCGCGCGCGTCTAAACAAGCGTGACGTTGTTGTTCGCTGCAGCATCCTCCTCGATGCAGACGTGACGTACTTCGTTATAACCTCCTCCCGCCAACGTGTTGTTGTTTGTGGTAAGCCAATCGTGCGTGCGCCAGTATGCTTCCGCATAACTCTTTTCTGCTCCTTAAAAGTCAACCTTCCAAAAAAAGAAAATCACGAATCCCTCCTAAACTGCGCGACATTATGTTTCGGGGAACATTTTGTGGAATATTCTCAATGTAAACATTCGGCGCGCGACCCATTTTGCGATGAGAGTTTATACACCAGGGCCACTTCCGTTGCCGCGGTGGTGCAGGTTTATAGAGTAGGTGTAAAATTACACCTCCTCTACAAGAATGACGAAGCAGAGCATAGTGAATGTCAGGCTCTTTCACCAATGTACGCTTTCCGTGGCGAGCTAGAAACTAGGGATCATTTATTTTTGACCTGTAGGCGATTTACTACGGCTCGTAGGTCCAGGAAAGCCATTTACGTTCTGTTGGGATGAATTTATCTATGCCCGTGATTCTGTCCTCAGGAGCTTTTATTTCTGGGTTTGTCAGTGCGAACGTTCACGTGGTTTTGCGGAGTTATCCGAATGAAACAAAAAAAAAAAAACTAACAAACTCATCTATATTATCATCCTTCTTTGTCGACATATGCACATCTTTTCTGATTTGCTTATATTTTTAAGTTACGTTCTTTATTTAATTTATTATCCGTTACCAATAAAAAGAGCTTTATAGTTGGTACAATTGAGTGAGCACCGAAATTTCGTTTTAAAATTTGTAACGTTTTCATTATATAACCTACATAACTCTGAAATTGAATAAGATTTTATGAGACCACTTAATTATTGGCCAATCTCCCACAGGGGGCACGAGCCAGCCACAAGAGAAGGTGAACAAGAACAAGAATGCCAGCCTACTACCCAAAAAATTATGATTATTCATCGCGTACTGGGTACCCAGCAAGTTTCATCGTAGAAGTTACCCAAAGAGTGTTTATAGAAGACTCTCAAAGGCCGCTCTTCGCAAGCTTTTGCTGTGACTGTGCTGAGCGTTTCGTGCATGCTTGGCGACTTCTTTCTTCTTTCTTTCCCCTGAAGTTTGTCGCGCATTCGCGTATGACATCGTTGATTGTGATGGCATTCTGAATGTTAAAAAAATAATTGAGGCAGCTTCGCACTATATAAGCTACAAAGAAACAAACGAAGCACGATCACTAGTTTAGTATGCGACAGATGACTATGCTACGAACCGTTTTGCCTGCGTTACGCCAAGTGACGCCGACAGCATATGACAGCCCGGGCCCCTCCGCACTTACAGAGGCCGGCCGCTTATAGGAGTAACCGTAAAAGAGTAGCCGTATAAGAGCAGTAACTGTATTACAAATAATAACATTTCCTGTACTTTCCTTGGCGTCATTGTCCATTAGTTCCGATTTATACTTTATAACAAAGGAAAAAAAAACGAGCATTTAGATTGCCACTCATTTCCGGCAACCGCACAGGACAGTATGTGGGCTTGTTGGTGTATCGCGTGACTGGGGCACCGGTTGTAGTGCTGAGAAGTCACATAAACAAAACAACTTCGAGCCACGCGCGCATATCGCGATCTACCTACCTCATTCAAATTTTGCCCGCGTGCCTTTGCATTAGTGCCACTATACCAACACCTCAATCTTGATTTCGCCAAGTGACACGTATTTGGTTCCTGGACTTCTTTTTCATAACTATATGGGGAAGTTGTGGTGTTTGTAGAAAAGGAAAGTTGGCACTATTTTCTGCAGCCGTGGAGGCTGGCGAGCGGCTATAGGGCTTTATGTACCGACTTGGGAGCACGTGGCCCGCTGTGCTACGAGACCCGCCCTGCAGGACCTTTAGGGGCCCTGCAACACTTTTTGAGCATGGTCAGCAAACGCTGCCGATCGGTGGTAGAGGCTTCCGAGAACAGGCGAGCCAAATATTATAGCGCAGCTTGCACGCGGCCTGGAGTTTACAGTAAATTCTCAAGGTCGGCTTGAAATCGTTTTCTCTTCTCTCGACAAATAATGATATATACTCCAAAATTATTGCGTCATAGGCCCGAGTAACGCGCCATCGGCTGATTTGAACTTGGCGCGCTCGGGACTCAATGGGGCCGCCGCGATGTGTCTGCGCGTGCAAGCGCACCAAAGAGCCGCGCGAAAAATGTTCAAGGTTTTTCATTTCCCGTGCCATCCCTGCTGCTTATAGCATCCAGCGAGTTCGCTCATAATGGACGGATTCCCCCCAAAATGTTTGCGGTGGTCAATTCGTGAGTCGATAAGCTGATTCTGCTGAATACATTCCATGGCTAATTGAAAAAAAGTGTTGCAGGGCCCCCATAACACCTCCAAACTTTTTTAGGCAAACGCGCCCGTTGAGTTCAGAATGCGGTCGCGATCAAAAATGGCAAACGAGGCAGCGATAAGAGCCGCGCCTCAAGTTCCCAAGAGACATTTCCTTCCCTGCCGTGCCTTTCGGGATTCCGCATTCCCTTAACGTTCGACGTGACGTTTTTCAACACCTGCTAGTCCGCTCTCAGGTAGGCGCATTTGCTGCTCATTCTCGCACGGTGAGCGCACACATTGCCACATCAGAAAGGTTTAGAGGCACTTTAAATATAATTTTTATTCCACCCATCTCCAGGGAGCACTGCTCAGTGTTATGAGAAAACTTCTAAGCAGGAAATTGCCGAGGAAAAGATCTATGATAATACTCGGGGTAGTTCTCTACTGTGTGAGGCCAGGACGGGAGTATTGCGAACCAATACATATCGGGCCAAATACGAAGGGGTACACACGGTATGCAGTACATGTGGAGAGGAGGAGGAAACTGCCGAACACTTGATAATGTTCTCTAAAGGGCTTCACCCTAAAGTTCAGGATGATGGCGCAAAGTTTTTCACAGTACTGGGGTTTAGGTACAGGGAGGGCAAAATAGACTTTAAGCGGGTAGAACTAAGTAGAAGGAGGTTATCTGACTGGTGGCTAAAGTCAAGGCACGAGCGAAAATTAAACCCTTCACTGCAAAGTACCAGTCCTCAACTTCACTATTTAAAGGAGAAAAAAAAAAAAGAGATAAACCTAGTTTTTGGCTCACTAAGCATTGCAGCTAGGTGGCGTTAGCCGACGCCCGATTTAAAGGGCACATCCTTAACAATCCACCCAGAAATGATAGAATAAAAACAAGAACACATTCGCGTATTTTTTTATCGCACGAGTTGGAGCAAAAAAGGGGGGTGGAACGGGAGGGGGGCACTGTCAAGTTGCGAGCTCCCTGTCTGTGTGCGCGAGAGAAACTGGGGAGCTTAAGAGCTCAGTCAACAGCACTCATAACGAAGCCGACAGGCAGGCACACAACCACTGAGCACAAGCTGTCACTATTGGGGGGAGGGTGCAGGGGGGCGCCCCGCTCAAGTTACCTATAAGGGCGGTGAACGCACAAAGTCAACACCATACATAATAATGAGGGAGAGGGTGACTGCGATGACCCTTCGCTTTACACATATGCGTGCATAGAAGGCTCCCCCTAAGCCCATAATTGAGGAGGGGGGAGGGTCGCAAAATCTGTCACATACTTTACCTAATGGGGGGGGGGGGGGGTGCGCTGCGATTAACTTTCGCACCCCACTCGGGGAACTCTGCACACGCCTATGGCTGTCACTACACTTCAGTGTGCTTGTACTCCTCTGAAATTCGGGAAAATGGTGTGAAAGGACAGTGTGAACTAAGTATGCACATGCCTCATGCAAGCGTTTCCAGATATACCGAAACCTTCTATTTACAACGCACAAATGTAGAAAAAAAGAAGAGAACTATTGGAGTCTTCGGAAGGTAACCTTGGTGTTTAAACTTCTCTTGAAGGCTTGGACGGAGCAAATGGAGTTTTGCGGTCTACTCTTTTATGATCTTGTTCAGATTTGGTATAGCATGGTTTTGACGACGCGAACTGTACATTTTCCCGAAGTTCAATGAGACGGCTGCAGCAGCTAGAACATGCCATACCTGGTAACAATGGCAGAATTTCGGGTAGCACAGTGCTTTGAAGCGATGTACTGCATATCACCAACTTTAAAAGGGAGGCCCGGAGAGCTGGAGTTTGAGGCTCACCTTGACGTAAAACTATCAAGAGAACTTTTTAATCCCTCACTAGTCTATCTTTTTGTACTGCTAAGCAACCTCCTCGGCCACTAGTCCTTACACAGCACGATCAGTCCCTCATAGTAGTTGGTGCTTCACACACATATGCCTTACGCAAGCGCTTCCAATTCATTCAGACAAATGCAGCCCAGGAAATGGTGTTGTTCTTATTTGTGTTGCATCAGTCATAAATACTGAAAATGTCACTTGAGATGGTTGCTATGGCAACACCAGCTAAGCAAGTTCCATGACAATTTTTGCCATAGCAGTTCTCGCAGAACTTGTTTGATGACATGCCCCTGCCCTTTGGGATGTACAGTGTCAATTTTTATGGAAGGGAACACAGGAGTGCGTGGCCCGCGCGCTCTGTTGGCTGCTGGCAGCGCGTTCAAGCGGGAGCGACCGCAGTCTCTTGTCGCGTCATCTCGCGGCGAGCAAAGCAACCATTCGTTTCCGATATGGAACTGCTGGCAAGATAGCAACCCTCTCCCCTTTCATGGTGCTACCGTGCTCCCTTTCATAAAAATTGACACTGTGCATGGATTGTGTCTTATGCACCGCTTACCTGCTGGGCACCTACATAGCTGCTAGCAGAGCAATTTTCATAAAAAAGCAGGAGTTGTAGGCGCAATTAACAGAATGTGTTAAATTTTAGATTTAATTGCACAGCCTACTCAACAGGGTACCTCTGCATATTCTAGGTGACTCTCGTGTGAATTCCAGCTTTTTGTTTTCAATAAGACTGACAATCATGACAAAAGAGAAAGCACACTTTTCATACGAAAGAAAACAATTTTAATTTATTACACGCGGCAATTATGTACAATCACCCATAATTGATGTCTCTGGTCAACAAGGTACCCTTCTTAGACCCAAGTTCCAGGCTTGCTCATGAACAAAACGAAAGCGTTCACAAAGGGCATAAAAGCATTTGAGAAGTTATCAATCATCACTTCTTACACTTTCATGTGCATTATCTACTTTATGTTTCCCCCAAATTGACCACAAAAGGGAGTAGTGAATCAGTCTCTACCAAAAAAACATAAGTTAGAAGAACGAAACATACAAAAAACCTGATCAGTGAACAACCAGTTGGGTTATGTGGCAGAACAAACAACAAGGTGGAGTGCGAAACATGCTCCACGCAACAATAACAGTGCCAGAGGTGGCAGAAGCAGCATCAGCATCTCTTTGCGGCAATACAATCTGGGAATGAAGCCACCATACCGATACATGTTTTTCTGCACTCTCCGTACGCTGCCACCGACACCTTCGCAGAAGTGCACTTGTCAGATCCAGGTGCATACCGGGTACATAAAACGTCACGTCCACATTCACGTAAATGATAGTCGTGCAGTAGTCGATTGCCTGCATTCCGACAGGCCGTCCTCTCCTTCTCGATGAGCAAAAACGTCACCAGTTCGTTCGGCTGTCTCCGATGACGGACACAGTCGTTTTCACTCGCTAGAGACCCGCGGCGGGCGCTGGCGTTCTTGAATATGGTGCTCGTACGTCGCAGACTGCTGTAACTTCACAGTGATTCTCGTTGTGTCCACAAGCAGTAGTTGCAATCTTCGTTCCCCGACTTAACCATCGTGCGGGCCCACGGCACAGGTCCCAGTTGCATAGCGGCAGACGACGTTCTCGTCTGCTATTTGTCAGAGACAGCCGAGAGACAGACGTGGCAGAAGAACACTTGGCTATTGGGCGTCTGAAAAGCGGTAGCCGAAACTGATCTTGGTGACGGTGCTGGCAATATGATTTGGGCTGCCACGTATAATTGGCGGGGGTGACTGTCACTCTTCTTTTTTTTTTTTGGGAGCTGTTCAAAGGGCACTACAGCGAAGCATACATGGCAACTCAGTCGTCCCAATCATCTTCTTCAGAGTCTGAATCGTCACTGGAATCACTGTCGTCGGCTGTAAAGCAACAAATAAAATGGCAACATGAATGTGATTCAGAACTCCAGATAGAAAAGCTACCGCAAACAAATAAACAATTATGCATGTTCACATTTACAGTAGAAACTATTATCTATTACCGTATTTACTCGATTCTACCGCGCCCTCGATTGTAACGCGCACCCGATTTCCACCGCGGAAAAAAAAAAAAAAAACATAAGACATCGATTGCAACGCGCACCCATTTTTTTTTTTTCGCTGGTCCGACCCGCACGATCACACCACTCGAAAAAACGATTCCTTTCGGGATTGTCTTCCATTTAAATATGAGGTACGGGCGAAGCTTGTGCCCATCTGACGTGTAACAGAGCATTGCTGTCACTGTAGTTTTACCGTGTCAGCGCGCGAACTTGCTTCGCCCCCTTCTTCTCGACGGTTGTGGTGCCAGGCATGTCGAAGTAAAGAGGCGTCTGATCCGCATTCCAGATTTGCCCAAGCAGGTAGCCGTTGTTGCGCCGCAAGTTTAGGACGAACCTCTGAAAACTGTAAAGCTTTTCATCGTACTTCTCCGCAAAAGTTTTCGCATATGCATGTTCCCCTTCGGAGGGAAGAGCCTTTCCTCTTCATATAGTTAATTAGCCAGCACCTGCTCGCTTTAAACTGGCTCCGCATTAGACCTTTTTCTAAGACTAATTGCATAGCCCGCACTTGGAGCAGTTATGTCGTCACGGGGCGCTGTGCCGCTCGCTGCTCCAGCACATACTCGCCGAGCAGCTCTTTAAAAAAAAAAAAATTTGCGGAAACCGACCCTGCTGTGGTTCACTGAAGCCTTTGCGTGAAGCTTTGCTGTCGACAATCTTCTGCTTTTGTTTCCGCCGGTCCCGCACGCACGTTTCGGGAACGACCGCGATGCGGCCCGATTTCCGTCCGTTTCTGCACACGCGATGACTTTTCTTTTAAAAGCGGCATCGTGGTGCACTCGAGTTTATGGAGTCGGCCCTTCCACGCCGTCGATGCTAATGCACTACTAGATGACGAACTCCTCAGCACACGTACAAAGTACCGCACATGGGAAACACATAGGCAGAAATAGCCGACGCGCCATGCCGACGCACGTAAAGGGCGGCCATTTTGGATTTGCGATGGCAATAGATTGACCGTAATTTTTTTGTTCGTACTCGATTCTAACGCGCATGCGATTTATGAACTCGCTTAACCGGGAAAAAGCTGCGCGTTAGATTCGAGTAATTACGGTACATGACTTTCCCCTCATGCAAAACTCGTATAACCAGGGCATTGTACAACCAAAGAACAGAATACAGGCAGCGGCACTCAAGCTTGCCAAGTAAGCCTGCAGCCCAAACCTGCACTGCTATAAGGAACCTAGATTAAATTATTTCATAAAATGACAGCCAAGCGTTTAAGCGAAGGGAATGTGTGCAAATATTTATTTTCACCTAAAAACAAACTAAGATATGATACACACATTTTTTCTTCGATATAACGAGTTTGAAAATTATTGGCTACAGTCAGCCATCAGAGGGGTCAGAGACAGTGTCATAGCCGTCATTAAAACAGCAATGGATCATGTATTTTGCCAGTTCACGTAAGTCAATTTCATGCATTACTCCCACGTTTGCGCTTTGTACCTGTTCCAAATGAAATGCAACTGGTGACATGCCGCTTTCATGATAAAAAGGTCGTTCAGGTTTCCTTGTGTTCGACTTCTACTAACCAGCACTCGGTGACATATGCACTGACATCAACTCACCATTCAACAAATCATTGTACACTCAGCGTGTATAACAAGCACTAGACGTTCTCTGTCCAGTACTTGCAAGCCTTCAGTAGGCACCACATCTAGATCAGTACTGTTATTAGTAATGATGCCAAACGCGTGCCAGCATCTACAGTGGAGTGCAATACCCTTGCTATCTTGCAACCAGTGCTATCAAGTCGTCAAGATGCGAGCATGCATAGAATGTTGTTTAATTAGGCTAATGCAAATTTCTTGTACGTTCATTTCTTTCTATCTTCATATGTTTTCATCCCTAAATCCTTTTCCCCAGCAGAGCATAGCCAACTGAACACACGTCTATTTGGCCTTTCCTTCCTTTATTCTTTTTCCTCTTCCTCCTCCTCCACTCATTAAACCAATAAACTTCATGAGCACTCACTCCCACTCATAGCTGCATACACTCATTCCCTATGTCATTAACGAACTCTCATCAAGTGCAGAGGGAGCACGAGTCAGTGTAGTCATACGTCGGCAATAAATGCTAGGATTCGACACACGAAAGCAACAATTCACCATGACTACTTACGCATGCACGCTTTTGCCCGCTCTTGTAGCGCTCTGGCCAGAGCTCCAGCCAAGCCTTCCAACTTGGTTTCGGATGGTGAAGTTCTTGCAGAGTCCGGTACCTGAGAGAACAGGGATGAAAATCATGTTTACAGACTCTGTGGTACACAAACACACCACGGTGTATGCATAAGCTCAGAAGCAGACTTGCATGTATCTTAATACTCTTCTCATGTTTCAGCACCATGAATACTTCTTCAGCCACCTTGGTATTGTATTCCTTCTTGTGTTTCGTATCTGATATTACATTCTAAACATTTATGACATCTTACGGAAAAGTATTCACGGACAAGTGCTCCAATAAGCTCTACTATATAGCCTCCAGCTGGCCATATTCTTGCCAACAGGCAGATTACTGACTTGAATAAAGACGGAGTAGTTCTCTCCCACTGCATGTGCATACTGTAAATACAGCCGAGCCCGTAAACAGTGGAATAACGTTAAATGGAACATGAAGGTACCAGCAAGATGTGTTCCGTTTAACAGGAGCTCTGTTGACTGAGAGACGAAATGGGGTGCAGAGGAAGTACAAAACCAATCACATTAATGGCAGCTGGTTCATTCAAGCAGCAGTCTCGCTTTTAAGGTATTTCTGCTTATTGAGAATCTATTGAACATTGAATCCACAAATATTGAACTATATTGTGTATATTTAACAGTTGTAAAATTACTTGAATATATTTTCTATATGCAAAACACTTTATAAAGGGAGTGTGCACTGAAACTGAGCTGCAATGTGGTGCTGCGGTGCACCAAACCGAGCGCCATTTTCGAGGTTGTCACGCAGTAGACGACGCATGCTTAACACTCTGCTGTCTTTATGTGAAGGGCGTTCCCTAAGCTTCTTTGTCCTCAAGCGTTGCATATAAAATACTGCAACGTTGGAAGTTTCCTCTACTACTGTGTGCCCCATAGACTTGTGAAAGTGCCCAAGCAGCAGCACATTGTTCCTACGGGTTGATAACGTGATCGATGCCTTCACTCTGCCATGTTACTGCAGTGAAAGATGCAGCTCAGCAACTACGCATTGAACCTTGAGCACAACAGGGACACCATCAAAGTCTCGAAATTCAGTGGCGATAACAGCTTGGCACTATCCGATGACTATGCCACAAAAAATGTTGGCTGTTATCCTAGTGCAGACCGTGCGAACATAGACGGCCATCTGCTTCATGAGGTAAACTCACAAGACAAAATGATGCGGAAGAAATCAAACAGCTACAAATCCTTGTAGGCTCATAATTACGTCGCGAGTGGTCTCGTGAAACAACCAAGAGTGAAGTTCTTTGACGTTGTAGTTGCAAAAGAAGGCTGTAAATAATGTACCTCATGCCAGCGACTTGACAGTTTTCTCTAGCTATCCGTAAAGCCAGCGATAGGGCAAGTGATCGATTGCCGATGTGGCGCCCAGCCCATTGCACTTCCTTGCCGCAGCTCACTAAAAATTGGTAGCCATGTTACTGATATGTTCATATTTCTTGTGCCTGCAGATGTGCTCGTAGTATTTGATTGTGCAAGCTTATACCTAACTTTTTTTACTATGGCTGAGAATGTCTGCCACTCACGAGCATTTAAGAAAACGATGCTGCTTCTATGGTTACTGATTTAAAGGCCGCGAAGAAGTTGCATGCACACACTGCCCGTGCACAGCTGACCTTGATGAGGCATGCTCACACATTAGAGCATAGCGCCCCACAAACTCTGTATTGCGACACTTATTCATCCAGCTCTTCGAGACGAATTCTGCTCAGCAATACATCTCTGGGTCTTGACCATGGATCTATTGTTTTCGCACAATGTATTAGTTTAACTTTGGAACGACATCGAAGCCTAAACTTGGAAAGTTCTCCCGAGCTTATTTTTGTGTGGTTGGAGCAACCGCAAACCTTGCAGTTGAGTAAAGTGATCCGATGCAACTCGACACGCAACAATGCGTTGCTGCCTGGGAAATTTTACAAGTTCGTGCAGCACGCAGTAGTAAGAGAAACTTTCAAAGCCGCAGTATTGTAGCTACAACACACGAAGACGCTGATGGCCAGGAAGAACAACACACAATGTTCACCACATAAATACAGCAAACACATGTCGCCTGCTATGCAACAATGTCAAAAATGGCTCTGGCCTGGTGCACTGCAGCACCACACTGTGGCTTAATTTGAGTGCACGCTCTCTATATTGAATTGCATATGCACAGAACTGTTTAGTGATCCCTGCCCCCCAGATTAAATTTATCTGCTTTGAGTGTATGTAGGCCAAGTAGAAAAGAATAAATTCTTCAACTGAATTGAAGACTTGATTGATTGATATGTAGGGTTTAACGTCACAAAACCACCATATGATTATGAGAGACGCCGTAGTGGAGGGCTCCGGCAATTTCGACCACCTGGGGAACGTGCACCCAAATCTGAGCACACGGACCTACAACATTTCCGCCTCCATCGGAAATGCAGCCGCCGCAGCCGGGATTCAAATCCGCGACCTGCGGGTATGCAGCCGAGTACCTTAGCCACTAGACCAACGTGGCGGGGCAACTGAATTGAAGACTATGTACATTTACACAGCTAATATCAACAAAGCAAAGCAATGCCCAGTACACCACCATGCATAGAAATTCTAGAGATCAAATTGAAGGGTACATTTGTCAATAAACAGCATGTTGTACTTACAGCCTTAAGCCTTATGCCGCCACGGATTTGGTCCAACAATGCCTCACGAGCATCTGGGTTGCTATGTGTGCTGTGCGTGGACTCAGTCTCAGGGTCAACATGCTAGAGAATGAGAGATGGAGAGAGAGAAAAAAATGGTTAAGCTCTATAAGAATTACAATGCAAATGATGGCTTCTTGTACCAAACTGCAGCATAGACCACTTGTAATAGAAGTATTCAGAGTGACCAATATCCACACAGTAACTGGTACTGCACGAGGAGACCATGCGGCCAAATGTATCCAGGAGTAGCTATCTAGGAGCAGGTATCCAGAAATACAAGCGTTGAGACTGGGCACATTTGCATTAAATTAAGTTTGTTCATGTACATATTTAATGGTTGGGGACTCACAGTGCTGGTAAAACAAACGCAGAAAAAAGTGCTGTAAAGAAAAGTTAACAATTTTTCACACCATCTCAATTTTATGCTGACTTCCCCGGTACAACTCCACAGTAGCTACATAGAACATATGTTGTAGGCACAACAGCACCAGCTTGTAACAGGAAAAGGAGAGAAAATGCAGGACAATATGCTGACTTCAAACTAAAGGCTCATTTTTCGGACTAGGTTTATTTTATTTATTTTATTTATTTATTTATTTACAGGTTCTGCAGGCCTATACTTAGGCCCAAGCAGGAGGGGCAAAAACAACAAAAAAAAAGTACAATGTCACAGCACTTAATTAGACAACTTATAGTGCACTTGCACAACAGAGTTACGGCACATAAACAGTGATCAGAACACTCATGCGCAGCAGAAGTCAACTAACTACATTACTCGGGCACTGCGAATACACACCATATGGATACATCATTCAGAACTAAACAAAAAAAGTTTCAAGCTGTTTTTCAATATCTTCGGACTGAAAAGCACTTATTGGTAAAGAGTTCCAGTCAGCAATAGTCCTAGGGAAAAAACTATTTTTAAAAGCAGTGGTACGGGCAAAAACTGGCGCCAATGAATATTTATGCTTATGTCTTGTTTTTCTAGAAGATAGAGGTTTCACACAGTTGGGCAGACTTGTTGTAACTTTACCGGAAAGAATTTTGTGTAGGAACGTTAACCGATTAATTTTCCTGCGAGTTTCCAGTGTTTGGATATCATTTAGTTGCATAAGTTGTGTTGGCGAATCATATCTTTTATATTTGCTAAATATAAATCTGACAGCCTTCCGTTGAACTTTTTCAATCAAGGCAATATCTTTTTTACATTGAGGGTCCCAAACAACCGAGGCATATTCAAGTTTTGATCGGATGCAGGTGTTATATGCCAATAATCTAGTCTCCTTCGTTGAGGATTTAAGTTTCCTCTTAAGAAACCACAGTTTCCTAAGTGCAGCCGTGCATATGCTTGTAATGTGGTCTGACCACGTAAGTGACTTTGTCAAAGTGACTCCTAGATATTTGTATTTTTCTACGTCTTTGAGTGGGTTATTGCGGAGAAAATAAGTATAAAGGCTGGGAGTTCGTTTTCTTGTTATTCTCAAGAGAACTGTTTTGTCACTATTAAGTTCCATGCCCCAGTTTTGACACCACTCATCTATACTTGTAAGAGACTGTTGAAGTAATATGTGGTCATTTACACAACATATTTCTTTAAAAACAACACAATCATCCGCGAATAATCTGACGGATATGTCCTTATGTACGACATCAACTAAATCATTAATAAAAATTAAGAATAACAAGGGGCCTAACACACTACCTTGTGGCACACCAGAAGAAACATTTAGCGAAGAAGAAAAACAACCCCTGACCTCAACAAATTGAGTTCTGTTATTTAAGTACATATGAATCCATTTAACGATACCCGAAGGTAGCCCAATATTTTCGAGTTTAAACAAAAGTTTTCCATGAGGCACCTTATCAAACGCTTTGCTAAAATCTAAAAAGAACACATCAGTCTGCCCAGATATATCTAGAACCCGTGCGAATTCATGCACTGTAGACACAAGCTGTGTTACCGTAGACATATTTTTTCGGAAACCATGTTGATTAGGCGACAAAATATTATTTTCTGATAAAAATGTGTTAATGTAATTTGCAACAACATGCTCTAACATTTTACAGCAGCTACTAGTGATAGAAACAGGACGGTAGTTTGTCAAGGAATAGCGGTTACCCTTTTTAAAGATCGGCACAACACGAGCTTTACGCCAATCGGCTGGTATCTGACCATATTTGAATGATACATTGAAAAGGGCAGTAAGGAAGTCAGTGATTTGTTCAGCATAGCGTCGTAGGAATGAATTACCAATGCCGTCAGGGCCTGACGATTTCTTAGGATTAACCTTAAGTAACATTTGTAAAACACCTTCACGAGTTATCAGAACATCATCCGTGATTATGGGCATCGGGTCTCGCAGTTCATAATACTGTGGTTCGGAAAAGACGCTCTGAAAGTATTTATTAAAATGATCAGCAATTAGTGCCGGATCTGTTATCGTGACCTCATCAACTTGTATTTCAGAAACGCCTTCTTTAGTTTGCTTAATATAGCGCCAAAATTTATCAGGATCTGTCCTGATGAATTCAGGTAGTGTGTCGTTAAAAAATTGATGCCTAGCCTTGCTAACACTCTCTAATAATTTTTCTTTAAGATCGGAAAAATGTTGCGTACTAGTCTTGTGTTTTTTTCGTAACCTTTTTATCTTTCTCTTGATCTTTATAATCTCACGGTTTATCCATGGGTTATGTGAACGCCTGCGTATTCTCCTAAGCGGGACAAAGTTCTTTGTACAGAAGTCCACAATACCACGGAAGCGTTGCCAGGCTCTATCAACATCACTAACAGATGTGGGGAGATGTGTTTCTAAATAATCAATTACTGCAACATCATCCGCTCGATTGAAATCTCTTACAACACTTTCCACTGGCGTTTTCACTGATTTACAACGTGCATGCCTGTCCCAAACAAATGATATTAATCTATGGTCAGAAATACCGGTTTCAACTGTGATAGTCGCTTCGGTAAAGAGTTCCGTTGTAAATAGCAGATCAAGTATCGAACTCCCCCTTGTGGGGTGTCCTACCATTTGCTCAAGGCCTAGAGAAAACATTATGTCTAAGAGTGTGTCAGCCGAGGAAGAAGTACCATAATTTATATCATCCCAATTAATGGCTGGCAGATTGAAGTCACCCGTTAAAATAAGATTTTTGCTTCGTAGACGTAGTAGTTCATCGTACAAACCGCTCATAAAAGAATCATCAGCATTAGGACATCGATAAACCGCACAGAGAAAAAATGACATATCAGCAAATGAAAGTTTTAAAAGCAGACTCTCTCTCACTGGAAAACGCTCAGCAATAGTTACATCAATGCCATACTTGATAATGACAGCCACTCCACCGCCCCGATGACCACGATCACATCGAAAAAGTTGGTAGTTCGGCGGAACTATCTCGCTATCGCCAATGGCTTCATGTAACCAAGACTCTGTTATCACACAGACATGAGGATCGTGCGTGAGCAAAATATTTTCCAACTTTTCAATTTTATTTGTTATACTCCGTGCATTGAAGCAAAGCAAACGAAGTTGGTGCTCCCCTAATTGCTAGCTGGGATTCCCTACGGCACTCTCATGTGACACTTTCCTACGCGCATTAAGCGAGTCGTCCCAACAGAAAAAGGTGTGATCAATACGAAGCTTATCGTGAACAAGAGCAACCTTGCTACCGCTTTCTCTGTCTGCTTTTGCAGTTGCCCATAGCAGTTTTCTTTTGCGGAGTGTGTCAGGACAGTAGTCGTTTTGAAGATAAATTTTGGTTCCCTTCAGCTTATGTGCTTGACGCAACACAGCTTGCTTTTCCGTATAATCTTGGAAAAAAAGTATAACAGGACGTCTGCTTGATACCGGCTTGCCTAATCTATGAATCCGCGCAATTGTCGTGCATTTCACCCCTAATCGATCATGAAATATGCCCTTCACTACCTTTTCACGTAGCTCTGCTTCAGATTCACTCCCAGCAGCGCTGATACCAAATACAAGAAGATTATTCCGGCGACTGCGATTCTCAAGGTCAACCAGCTTGGACTGATGAATATCAATTAACTGCTGAATGGAATCTACAGACTCCTGTATCGATTCGCTCACGCCCTTCTGAGTTTGTAGTTGCTTAACATTTGCTTCTAAGTTATTCAGACGCACTCCAAAGGTGCTTATTAATGATTCTGTTGAGTCTAAACGTGCTCTAAGGCTTACAAGTTCTGCTCGGATATCAGATTGTCCCTTCAAGAGCTCGTGAAACATTTCATCAACAGTTGGCCCAGGGTTTTGCTCGACATCTCCACACAGCAATAACTTGCAAACAAAATAACATTCATATGCAATAATAAAACATGTCTGTGGGCACGGCACAATAAGAAGTACAATTTCGTCTCCAGACCTATGATTTGAAAGAGAAAAACTAACCTGTACAACGAAAAAGAAGCGTTTCGTTAGCGGCATCTTTCCAGCCGCTTCGCCGTGCCCACTGAAGGTCCAACTGTGTGGCCTGTCTTTAAAAGGGCGATCCAACGATGACGTCACGGGCATGCAATGTTCCAGAGGGGGCGTATCCAGTATGTCCAAATTCGATGAAGGCACTGGACAGTAGTTAGCAGAGACAGATGTAATCGCCGCAACTTCATTCCCGGTAGTGCAAGGTTCCGATGGCCCGGCGAGCATGAAAAACACGGCCTGTACAACGAAAAAGAAGCGTTTCGTTAGCGGCATCTTTCCAGCCGCTTCGCCGTGCCCACTCCAGGTTGCTTAATTATAAGGAAAAAAAAGAGTATTGCCGCAAGTAAGGAAGCTGGCCCAAAACTACATTATTAGTGGAAGTCAGCACTATATCCTTTGCCTTCAGTATTTTTTTGAAGACGCTTCTCTCAACCAAAATTTTTAGAATGTAACTAAAAGCTCTCCCTCAGCTGTGGTTAAACTTGCAGTGGCTGAATCCAGAAGTGGGGGAATATTTTGTAAAAAGAATCTTTCGATCAAGGAAGTCACTAAAAGAGCACAATAGCTTCTTATATCAACACTGGGAATTGATAGAGATTCCCGTAGCACTCCCCAAAAACT